AAATAAACAAGATCGATAGACCCCTGGCAAACCTGACTAAAATGAGGAGAGAAAAAACCCAAATTAGTAGAATCAGGAATGCAAAAGGGGAGATAACAACAAACACCATGGAAGTCCAGGAAATCATCAGAGACTACTTTGAGAACCTATATTCAAATAAATTTGAAAATCTAAAGAAATGGACAGATTTCTAGATACATATGATCATCCAAAACTGAACCAAGAGGAAATTAATCACCTGAATAGACCTATAACACAAAATGAAATTGAAGCAGCAATCAAGAGTCTCCCCAAAAAGAAAAGTCCAGGACCTGATGGATTCTCTGCTGAATTCTATCAGACCTTTAAAGAAGAACTGATACCAACCCTCCTTAAACTGTTCCATGAAATAGAAAGGGAAGGAAAACTGCCAAACACATTTTATGAAGCCAGTATTACACTTATCCCAAAACCAGGCAAAGACACCTCCAAAAAGGAGAACTATAGGCCAATCTCCTTAATGAACATTGATGCAAAAATCCTCAACAAAATAATGGCAAACCGAATTCAGCAACACATCAAAAAGATTATTCACCACGACCAAGTAGGCTTCATCCCAGGGATGCAGGGTGGTTCAACATACGAAAATCAATAAACGTAATAAACCACATTAACAGAAGCAAAGACAAAAACCACTTGATCATCTCAATAGATGCAGAAAAAGCCTTTGATAAGATCCAACATCATTTCATGATAAAAGCTCTAAGAAAACTAGGAATAGAAGGAAAGTTCCTCAACATTATAAAAGCTATATATGACAAACCTACAGCCAGCATTATACTTAACGGAGAAAAACTTAAACCATTCCCTCTAAAATCAGGAACCAGACAAGGATGCCCACTATCTCCACTCCTATTCAACATAGTACTGGAATTCCTAGCCAGAGCAATTAGGCAAGAAGAAGGAATAAAAGGAATACAAATAGGTAAAGAAACTGTCAAAATATCCCTATTTGCAGACGACATGATCCTATACCTTAAAGACCCAAAAAACTCTACTCAGAAGCTTCTAGACATCATCAATAGCTATAGCAAGGTAGCAGGATATAAAATCAACATAGAAAAATCATTAGCATTTCTATACACTAACAATGAGCAAACTGAAAAAGAATGTATGAAAACAATTCCATTTACAATAGCCTCAAAAAAATCAAATACCTAGGTGTAAACCTAACAAAAGATGTGAAAGACCTCTACAAGGAAAACTATACACTTCTGAAGAAAGAGATTGAGGAAGACTATAGAAAGTGGAGAGATCTCCCATGCTCATGGATTGGTAGAATCAACATAGTAAAAATGTCGATACTCCCAAAGTAATCTACATGTTTAATGCAATTCCCATCAAAATTCCAATGACATTCATTAAAGAGATTGAAAAATCTACTGTTAAATTTATATGGAAACACAAGAGGCCACGAATAGCCAAGGCAATACTCAGTCAAAAGAACAATGCAGGAGGTATCACAATACCTGACTTCAAACTATATTACAAAGCAATAACAATAAAAACAGCATGGTACTGGCACAAAAACAGACATGAAGACCAGTGGAACAGAATAGAGGACCAGATATGAAGCCACACAACTATAACAACTTATCTTTGACAAAGGAGCTAAAAATATACGATGGAGAAATAGCAGCCTCTTCAACAAAAACTGCTGGGAAAACTGGTTAGCAGTCTGCAAAAAACTGAAACTAGATCCATGTATATCACCCTATACCAAGATTAACTCAAAATGGATCAAGGATCTTAATATCAGACCCCAAACTCTTAAGTTGATACAGAAAGAGTAGGAAATACTCTGGAGTTAGTAGGTATAGGTAAGAACTTTCTCAATGAAACCCCAGCAGCACAGCAACTAAGAGATAGCATAGATAAATGGGACCTCATAAAACTAAAAAGCTTCTGTTCATCAAAAGAAATGGTCTCTAAACTGAAGAGAACACCCACAGAGTGGGAGAAAATATTTGCCAACTATACATCAGACAAAGGACTGATAACCAGAATATACAGGGAACTTAAAAAACTAAATTCTCCCAAAACTAATGAACCAATAAAGAAATGGGCAAGTGAACTAAACAGAACTTTCTCAAAAGAAGAAATTCAAATGGCCAAAAACACATGAAAAAATGCTCACCATCTCTAGCAATAAAGGAAATGCAAATTAAAACCACACTAAGATTCCACCTCACCCCTGTTAGAATAGCCATCATCAGCAACACCACCAACAACAGGTGTTGGCGAGGATGCGGGGAAAAAGGAACCCTCTTACACTGTTGGTGGGAATGTAGACTAGTACAACCACTCTGGAAAAAAATTTGGAGGCTACTTAAAAAGCTGGACATCGATCTACCATTTGATCCAGCAATACCACTCTTGGGGATATACCCAAAAGACTGTTACTCCAGAGGCACCTGCACACCATGTTTATTGCGGCACTATTCACAATAGCCAAGTTATGGAAACAGCCAAGATGCCCCACACTGACGAATGGATTAAGAAAATGTGGTATCTATACACAATGGAATTTTATGCAGCCATGAAGAAGAACGAAATGTTATCATTCGCTGGTAAATGGATGGAATTGGAGAACATCATTCTGAGTGAGGTTAGCCTGGCCAAAAGACCAAAAATCGTATGTTCTCCCTCATATGTGGACATTAGATCAAGGGCAAACACAACAAGGGGATTGGACTATGAGCACATGATAAAAGCGAGAGCACACAAGGGAGGGTGAGGATAGGTAAGACACCTAAAAAACTAGCTAGCATTTGTTGCCCTTAACGCAGAGAAACTAAAGCAGATACCTTAAAGCAACTGAGGCCAATAGGAAAAGGGGAACAGGTACTAGAGAAAAGGTCAGATCAAAAAGAATTAACCTAGAAGGTAACACCCACGCACAGGAAATCAATGTGAGTCAATGCCCTGTATAGCTATCCTTATCTCAACCAGCAAAACCCCTTGTTCCTTCCTATTATTGCTTATACTCTCTCTACAACAAAATTAGAAATAAGGGCAAAATAGTTTCTGCTGGGTATTGAGGGGGGGAGAGGGAGGGGGCGGAGTGGGTGGTAAGGGAGGGGGTGGGGGCAGGGGGGAGAAATGAACCAATCCTTGTATGCACATATGAATAATAAAAGAAAAATGAAAAAAAAAAAACCAATCAAATCATAAGAGATCGTTTAGGTCAGTCGTGGAATCAGTAAAGGTTTTGAAGAGGACACATCAGGAAAAGGTCACACATCTGTGAGACTTGAAGGAACAGCAGACTCTGATGGGTATATGAGAGGACAAGAAAATATTCCAGAGGCAGCAACAAGATACATATGCATGGAAGAGCCTAGGAAGGCAGCATGCTATAGCTTCACAGTGTGAGTAGTCAGGTTGAGTAGTAAGTAATACAACCAGATGGCAGGAGGCTTAGGGGGCAGGGTCTAGGGAAGCCCACCCAAGCTGTTTGGTAGGCAGAGTCAAATCATAAAGAACTACTTAGTCATGCAAGCCTTCTATGAAGGAAAGCAATGTTCAGCCTGCCACAAGCATTATTCTAGTATGAAAATTGGAAGGTGATCTGGAGAGAAGTGAAAATTGTGATTGCCCAGAAGGAAAGAAAATAATGACGGCTAGCTAATTTTATAGAGTTCTGACTCTCTGCTAAGCACTTTCCTTGAATCATCTCATTTCATTGCTAAAGTGAATGCGACAATTAGCTCCTTTATGGAACCCACGTGGCTAGCTTCCTTGCCTCCTGAAGGTCTTCACACAAATGCAACTTCCTCATGTTCTCCCTGTCCCCCTTCCTTTATTTTTCTCCTGAGTGCTCAACTCAATTTAACATGTTCATTTTTAAAATCTGGTTTAAAGATTCTTCTCATATAAGTGGATTAATTTGACTTTTTTCCTTGAGTTCTGAATCCTCAATGCCTGGCACATGGTCAATTCCCAATACAATTTTAAAAATAAATTAATAGATGAAATAAATGAGGAAATGAGTATCATAGAGATCAAGGAACCCCTCTATGATCATAAAGGTAGTAAGGTGTAAATACTGATTCAATAACCCACATTCTTAAACACTCCATGATTCCACCAGAAATGTAATATTGTAGGCAAGTAAGTCCTCTCTGCTGGGAGTATAGCAGTGGGAAGGGGTAAGACCGATAGAATGGCCTGAATTTGGTGATGGACTGGATGTGCAAGAATGCTGAAAGGGCTCATCTAGAGTGACTTTGGTTCCCAGGTTTGGCAAATGAGGAGAAATTAAAGGACTCCTGATTTGGAGAGAATGGTGGAAGAGGAGTACATGTCTAATCCACATTCATAAGTGTTAATAATAAATACGAAATAGGTGAACCCAAACTGATCCCATCATCTTCATCGTGTGGCCCAGTGGGGGATGGAGACAGATAGGACACGAAAAGTAGGAAAAGTCCACAGAAGTGTTCAAACTAACTCTGAGGTTAATTTTCACGACAGATAACAAAACCAGAAAATGAACTGGTCCCCTGAGTGGCTGAGTCATAGTCGTCATTTCCTGATTTTTCTAGACGGCGGCAGCCGCTTACACAGGTGACCATCAGTGTAGAAGGACTGGCAGGCTAGGAGCGCGGGAAAGCACGCTTGCGGCCACGCGCACCGTCGCCAGCCGGCGCCCGCGCTCCGGGCCGGGGTCTGTCTGTTGACCAGCCACCGGAAGCTCGCGCTTCAAACGACTCCCAACCCCCGGTCTGGCGCGGAGGCGGGGCGCGCGGTCGCGTCCGGCCCGACCGCGAACACGCGACCTCCGACCTCCAGGTGGCGTTGTGGGCTGGCAGGGGCGGCGTGGCCCGAGCGAGCGCCGTCTCCCTAGTGCGCATGCTCGGCTTCGCTGTGGGCTTGCCTTTTTTTTTTTTTCTTTTTTTTTTTTTTTTTTTTTTTTCCGGGCGGCCCCGGCGGCTGCGTACTGGCTGTGGGATGGGAAGTGAAGCCCCAGCGAGCGGCTGCGGCGGGGCTGTGAGTAGCAGCCAACGGGAGGAGGCGGCGGCGGCGAGTCGGTGAGCAGCTGGAGAGCGCGGAGCCGGGCGCAGCACCTGCAGGCACGGGCGGCGGCCCCACCATGGCGATTCGTAAGAAGAGCAGCAAGAGCCCCCCGGTCCTGAGCCATGAATTCGTGCTGCAGAATCACGCGGACATCGTCTCCTGTGTGGCGATGGTCTTCCTGCTGGGGCTCATGTTCGAGGTGAGCCCGCCCTGCGTCCCAACCGCCCAGCCCCGGGGTTTAGCCGGCCTGGCCCCCTCTGCGCCGGGACCGCGGTGGGCTCGGCCCCCGGGGAGGCGCGGCCCTGTCCCCACCCGAGGCCGGAGCGGACCCCGCGGGCCCGGACGCCTCCTTGGCGGGGAGCCGCCGCGTCGCCCCCTCCCCAGCCGGCCGGCCGCGCCGCGTAGTTCCTGATTCCCGCGAAGGGCTACGTGGCAGCCGGCGAGGGGCCGCCGGGCGGGCGGGGGCGGCCCTGGCGCCGCGGAGCTGGCCCTGCGCGGTGGGCGGACCCGGGGTGGCCGGCGGGCCCGGGCCCGGGTGACAGGGGCCCCTGGGGGACCGGTGGGGCGGGCGACACGCTGGGATCCTGCACGTCCGCCCCGAGGGCCGTCACCGCGGGCACCCGTGGCTTTAATTTCTGACTTTTACCACTTCTGCAACTTTTTGCCCTGACGCCTGCTGTCGCCTTCCTAAAAAGAAACAAGGGACACCAGTGGAAGCTCTGAGCAGCTGTGCCGCGGAGTGGAGCAGAGGATGGGAATGTCAGGAGTGGGTAAACCCTCTTCCCACACCCACAGTGTTTTGATGACTTTTTAACAGCTGTTGAATGTGGTGATAAACTTTGTAAGGTGAACGTGTAACATCCTACAGGATTTTTCCTCACTCCCCAAGACTGACGCCTATTCCTTTTCTTTCGCCTTTGAACTCCTGTCTCTAGCCCTGTGTCTCATCAAGTATACTGAACATTTTATTTATGGGTTTGTCTCCTCTTCTTCTGGCATGTAACCATAGTAAGGACGAATTTTTTTTTTTTACTAGCTTACTTCCAGTTCCTAGAATAGTGCTTTAAAAATTTGAGTGAAATTTAGACTGTGAGAAAAACTAATGGAATGAGAGGCTGCTAGTGACCAAAAGATGAATTTTTTTTTAAATGGAGGCCATTTGGATTTTTTTTTAAGTTATTATTAGACAACTTACAATTTTACTTTATTTTTGTTTCTCTTCTAATAGACTTTTCTGAATCTAGATAATAGATTTTTTTATTCTTGATAGTGTCGTGTATTGCTCAAACCACTGCTAAGGAGGTGGCAGATTTAGTTAAACCTGGGAAGTAGAGGGACACCAACATACGTCACAAGCTTACTAGGTGACTCAAGTCAGAGACAGTTTTTCTTCTCTGTATATAAGAAAATAAAAATCATCTGTACTATTCTCTGCACAGTTATTGTTGCAAGGATCACAGAACATGGTGTTTAGACATTTGACAGTTTACAGTTTACTATATGAATATATGGAACTAAAAATACAGAGTTTGGGGTGGGAAGCTCAGTGGTAGAATGCTTTATTTCTCTGTTTGTTCATTCATTCGTTTATTTGGCGATGCTGGAGATGGAACCCAGAGCCTCTAGGCAAATGCTCTACCACTGAGCTACATCCCCAAACCCCAGTGCTTCCTTCAGCCTGTGAGGGCCCTTGGTTCAATCATGAGCACCACACACACACAAAAAAAAAGCCAAACAATTGTACTCCCTGAATTTGGTACTTATATACACATGTTCTGCTTCAGTATTAAAAATAATACTTTCATATATGCAATATAGTCAACAGTTTTGTGTAACTTGCCATCTTGCCTAACCCATCTCCACATGGTAAGAATTCCTGACTTTAAAGACATACTTTAGTAGTGCCATGACCTGTAAACCTGTAAGGAATATTTGCAATGCTTTGGATAAAATTGAAAAAAAATCAGATTGCTTTAAAACTATAAATGGGTTATGAATTTTGTGGGGTTTTTTCCTGCATTGAAGTGATTCAAGAGTTTTTCTTCTTGATTTATCAAGGTGGATTACCTAGATTGGTTTTCTGATATTTAACCATCCCTGAAATAAATGTTTCTAGATATATAAAATATATATATATAAAAATCAGAAATTCTGACTCTTGGAAATACTATAACTTTACTTTTATGTAAATTGTCTCACATTCTTTCACCTCACTTTCTAGGAAAGTTCTGCCCCCCTACCTTGGCTCTTATGTTAAACAGTGAGTGGATTTTCACCTTTATGTTAATACTAAATAGAAGTCACTTAAAAAGGAGTGTTAAAATGATCTACAGAAGAGGAATTTTGTACATGTAGCTTTTCTTGCCATATGTTAAAAGTTTTAGCGTTTGAAAGCATATTGACTAGATGAGTTTTGCTATTTGACTTTAAGATAGTTGCTGCTGAATTTCAGTCAGCATAATTAGAGTTTGTGCTGAAATAATATAGAAGTTGAAGTTTTTGTAGAATTACCAGGCCTTTTGTGTAAGTATAGTGAGGAAATACAAGAGAATTTATGGTGAAATCAGCAAAGAAATAACATAGACTGCATTACTAGCCAAAATGAAGAAGCAGTTGTAGGTATAAAAGTGTGGATTCTGAAGCTAGAAGGATCCATGTTCAAGTTAGGGCGTATCAGAACTTAAGCTCCTTATCTGTAAAAATTCAATTTACTAAAAATATGGATAATATCTAGTTCAATGTTTGGCTTACAAGAAAATAGCTATTATTATTCCTTGGAAACTCATAAAAGTTGGAAAATAGATGGTAGCATTTTTAAATAAGAGAAGGGTCCAACAGTTAATATCTAAAAAGACTGTGTATACTGAAAAGGTTGGCGAAGTAATCTGTTTGGGGGAAGAACAAGAATTTGATTTCCAGGAACTTTCTATTATTAAAAAAAATTGCTTGTAAATTTTGAAGTCATCTTTTAATTTTTTTGACAGTCTGTATCTGTACACATAATACAAGAGTAATCTTAATGACTTCATATTCGAGGTAGGAAAATCAGAACAGTCAAAAAATGTAAAGATACTTGGGAATCTTTCTAGAAGTAAGGAAGTGGAAAGAGGAGTAGAGTTAGCAGAGAAGTACTTCCTTCCATCTATCCTTTCCAGGGAGATGGGCAGGAATCTCTAGATTGCTTGTGAATTACAGGTTTGAGGGACCTTAATACTTACAACAATCTTGGAACAGTTTTGGGGTTTGATTTACTTTTAAGTGTGGCTTGTCTTAATGACAGTACTTTCTTTTCCTCTCATTTTCTTTAAAGAACTTAGTTTTATATGTCATGATGGAGAAATGGAATTTGATACTCAGAAATTGGCTTTACTTTTCAGAGATCCAAGTCTGTGTAGTAATCACACCTTCCTCTTACAAGTACAAAATAGTAAATATTTCTGTATCACAAGAGAAGACATCAATCCCAAGCTGGCAACCACTCAGTTAAAGAAACTTTGCAATATTCATGACTTTGCATATGTAGAACTGGACAATTACTTTGTGGTAACCCACTTAAAATGGGTCTGAATAAATCTCATTTTTTCTTATAAATGGAGAACAGTGGTATAAATGTCCAAAACTGTCATAAACTGTTACTACTTTTAGTGTAATACATATTTCTGTAGCATATTTATATTCCAAACTAATGTATCTTACCATTAACTAAGTGTAACATTAGTTTAACCAAAGCAGTATTGACTGGGATGTGACTCTTAGAAAGGCCCTAGAAATATCTAGAAGAATGATTTCTAGTTTAAGCTTTTGGGAGGTGTGTAGTTTGTATTTTTCCTCCTCATGCTGCTTAATGTCACATGCTAAGCCAGCTGGAGTCCAGATTTTAATTTTATTTGGAAGCCTAGCATAAAAGGATAATCTAATTTTCGTTGTTATTAGAATTTCATACTAAATTTGTCTTTGAAGAATTTTCATTTGTTGTTTGTAAAGGACTGTAATACAAAGTTTTCTTAGCTGTGGTAATGGTGACCTCATCTTATAAACTAGAAACAGGGATGTGGAGGACAGGGGGAAGGAGAGAGAGAGAGAGTGTGTGTGTGTGTGTGTGTGTGTGTGTGTGTACCTTTCTTTGTGCATATTTATATGAAGTCTAAGCAAAACTAAAAAGAAATTCAAGCAGTCGATCAATTTTATTGAAATTACCACATGAAAGTTGTGTTACGCCAAAACTTAGGAATTCAGTAATGAATACTTGTGAATGGCCTATATTTTAATATAGTAGCTTTACTAGCCTTTTCTGTTTGTACGATCTTCATATCCTTTCCCAGTTCAGCAATTTACTATAGTGGCCATATCTTAGACTTTTTCTTTCAAATAACACAAACCTTATTATTTTCCAGACCTTGAATTCCAGAATAGCAGAGTTCAGCCCACATCCTACATGTTATTCATCTCCTCCTTCTGCTGTCCATGTGTCAATTCTCTGTAGTCCTGGCTTTTATGATACCTTGTTCCATTTTTTCTTTCCTCCAGTATACTAGCCCCATCATTGCTTTGCTTTTCTTCCTATAGACTTCACTCTGTTACAGTAGCCCTCCCCCCTTACCCACAGGGAATATGTTCCTAAACTCCCAGTGGATGCCTGAATCCACATTACCAAACCTTGTTTATACTATGTTTTTTTCGTATACATACCTATGGTAAAATTTAATAAATTAGATACTGTAAGAGATTAAAAACGGGAATAATAATAAACTGTAATAACAGTTATGTGAATGTGGTCTCTCAAAATATCCTATTATATTGTATTCACCCTTCTTGTGGGGATGTGATGAGATGAAGTGAGGTGAATCATGTAGATGTTACTCTGCAGTGCAAGGGTTAATGTGAACCCAAGTACTGCCTTGACAATCTGATGACCAATATGGAGACTAACAAGCTAGTAGTCAGCAAGGGTATAGTGGACCAGGTGATTTATATCCTGGGCTAGATGGAGTAGGGTGGCCCAAGGTTTCAATACATTATTAAGAACAGTGTATAATTTAAAACTTATGTTTATTTCTGGAATTTTCCATTTAATATTTTCAGACTTCTGTTGACAATAAATAACTGAAATCACAGGAAGTGAAACCATGAGTCAGGGGAGGGGAGCTACCGTTTATACCTTTTCTTTATTTTTTGTCACAGGATCTCACTGTGTAGTACAGGTTGACCTCCACCTGTTGATCCTTCTGCCTCAGCAGTCTGAATACTAGGATTATAGGCATGAACCACCATGCCCAGTTATTTCTGCCTTTTCTGTGCCTCTCAATTCTCAGGTTGTTGAGCATTACGTGAAAAAGTAACATATATTGATAGATAAATCAGGTTTTTAACCTCAGACATTAATGACATCCAGTGATCTTTTTACTTTTCCTAATCAATTTCTTTCCCTATAGGAACGATATATATACTACTGATTAGATCCTCTTTACACTTAACATGTGGTGTGGCATATTTTCCCTATAGAGAAATAGCAAGTTTATTGGGTATAGATTTCTCCAGTTTCCTGCCTTTTGAACTTATGTATCTATCTCATCCAGTCTAGGTTGAGCACTCCTAATACCAAAATCCAGATTGCTTCAAAATCCAGAACTTTTTGAGCTCTAACATGAGACCACAAATAGAAAATTCTATCCCTGATCTCACATGGCAGATTGTAGTCAAAACACAGGAACACTAAAAACATTTTTAAAAATTATCTTCATACTATGTGTATGAGTTGTATATAAAACATAAATGAATTGCATGTTCAGAATTGAGTCCCATCCCTATGATTTCTATTATGTATATGCAGGCATTCCAAAATCCCCAAAAATTTGAAAGCTGAAATACTGTGAGTCTTAAGCATTTTGGATAAGGGATAGTCAACCTGTACTACCTTCTTTCCAGTCTAGGAGGAAGCATTCAAACGGACTGTACCTTTACAGTTTCATTCCCTACTATATCTTCCCTTTTGTCCTTTGTATTTAGTTCCTCCTTTTTCCCTAGCATCTTCCCTATTGCATCCCCCCAGCGCCAACCCTCTCTCTCCCATCTAAAAACATCAGTCTTGACCTGGCATCTACTAGATTATATTTTGTTCCTCATCTGTTCTTCAATTCACTACAGTTTGGCTGCTGCTCTCATTACTTTGTTGGAATCACCGTGACCGGTAATGACTTCTTAAATTATCTGGTCTGTTGCATTCTCCATGTCACATCTATGTTGAAACTTTGCTAACCTGCATCTTTTTGAAATGTTTTCCCCTTGGCTTTGGAAATGCCAGGCTCTCTTCATTCTCTTTCTGTCTCCCTGACCATTTCTTCTTAGTTCTGGGAATTATGTTAGGGAGTTTTGTAAGAAAAGGTTTATTTTTGCTCACAGTTTTGCATACTTCAGTCCATGGTCACTTGGCCCCATTGCTTTTGATCATGTGACAAGATAGTACATAATGCCAGGTAGCTCATGACAGGGAAGTAAAAGAGAGGTGGTGGAGAGAAAGGAAGAGAGTAGGCCACCTTGGAGGGGGGCCATACTTCCAGAGACCAGATGACCTCCCACAAGGCTCTACTTCTGCAAGAGTCCACCACCTATCAGTGGCAGCATAGATGGGACCAAGCCTTAAGCACATGGGCCTTTGGGGGACATTTATCCAAACCAAGTGGGACGTAAGTTTTGGCTTTTTATCTGCTCCCTCCACAGGTGTGATGTTGTCTTCTCTATAAATACAATATGCTTCCCACATAGGATTTATATACTCCCCAGCCTCAACTTCTATCTATCTGTAAATGGGTACTCCCAAATCTTTAGCTAAGCTAAGGTTCCCCCTGCTGAATTCTAGACTTACGTTTTAGCTGCATCCTGCTTTTTCCACAGATTTCTCTATCTCAAAGAAATCTCTTGAGTTTGTCTGAAGCTCAGTTTCTTCTTTTGTACCCCAAACCTGCTATTTCTGTATTCACATTTTTTTTCAGTACTGGGAATCGAACCCAGGGCCTCATGCATGCCAGGCAAACACTTAACCACTGAGCCATATCCCCAGCCCCCTCACATTTTTATTAATGATTACTTTTCACCTAGTTGTTCAAGCTGTAAGCATCAATAAGTAATCCTGATTCCTTTCTCTTTTGCTTACCAAGCCTTATCTCCCTTACAAGTGCCTCCTCCTCTATCCCACTACCCCTGTCTTAGTTCAGGTCTTATCTTTCATGTGGTCTCTCGTAAAAGTCTTGTACTTGACTTATAAACTTACTCTAACTGGTATTTTATCTGATGCTTATAGCAAATAATAACGTGATCAGTACTATTTATCAATTGCCTAATATGTGCAAAGTCCTATAATAGACTGTAAGCATACAGTGACATCAGAAATAGGCATAGTCCTAACTCTCAGAGTTTACTTTGTAGTGGTTGTAATGGAAATTAATATGATCATATCAGAGTATGTGTTTCGAAGGAAAGGAGAACAATTCTCTGAGACAGTATGACAAAGGAAATGCCCTGTTGTAGAAGAAGAGGGGCCAGGGAGCAGGAGGAAGTAGTCTGAGATGAGGCTGTGGAGATAGGAAGAGTCAGACTACTGAGTATGTAGGCCATATTATTCTAGAAATACAGGAATCACAAGGAAGATTGTTAGCAGATAGGCTAGGGAATGTGGTAACAGAATTAGAAGATCTTTCTGGTTGTGATGTGGAGAGGATCCAAGGGGCTTGAGAGGTTAACTTAAGTAGGCTGTAGCTAGTTTCTAAAAGGCATAAGTGAACTTACCCCGCCTTAAACTCCTGCAATCATACTAAAATAAATCTTAACTAACTCAACAAATAAGGTGCTTTCAAAAGCACTGAGTAATGTTTCTTTTCTACTAACTATCCCTAGTAAGTGCCATGCTTGGCCTTGTATTTACTGCTGCTTTACCTTATTTCTTCTACCTGTCCTGCCCTCTTAAACCCCTTGCGAGTCTAGGGAACTTCTGTTTTCCAGCAGTTCCTGTACCAACTCTGAAGAGCATTTCCAGAACAGGCACAAAGAAGTGCGCTGTTCATCCCGAGTACTCATAGCATAAGTATTGACAGTATTATGACAATTTGTCTACCTGTCCTCCTGACACAACTGAGTTCCTTGTGGGAGATTTCATTCATCTTTGTTTGATCCTTTCTTGTCTAGCATTGTGTCTGGTGCCATAAATGCTGAGTAAGCATTCCTTTTTTCTATTCTGACCACTTTAATTTTACTAATAGTCAAGTCAACTAAACCTTTTACCAGGTGTTTGGGAAATAACACACAGATCCTGAATTTGATCCATTTTTCTTATGCTAACTGTGCTTCCTCTTATTTTACTAATTTCCATTTAAGTTTTTCTTGATAAGGAGTTTTGTGTTCCTTGTATAGTAGAGAGTACTGTAGTAGAGAGTCATTATTTCTGAAATCATTGTTTACCTGAACTGCAGAGAGTGTCACTTGAAGTTATATCTATATTGCAGAATACTTTGGTGAATTATCATAACTCCCAGGCTCAACTCTGATGATCAGGAATTCTCATTGTTCCTGTTAGGGTGCCACAAGAACCAGGGTGCCTTAGTGCCTAGATTTGGTGACAGAATTTACAGTGTTTTTGTCCCTGATCTATTTATTTGGGAGAGAGTCACAAGTTCAACTTTTTCCTTTCTTTCTTTCTAGATAACAGCAAAAGCTTCTATCATTTTTGTTACTCTTCAGTACAATGTTACTCTTCCTGCAACAGGTAGGTAGTTTTCATAGCATTTTCTTGTTTAAGTAGAAATTCAGCTGAACAAATTTGGGAATATTCATGAACATTAGATTCTGCATTAATCCTCATAAGTCTCACCCATGATTAGACTGAATATTATTTTGATGATTTTTGTAATACAAGATCTGGTGGTTTGGAGTTTTTTTAATCCTACACATGATATGAAAACCCATTGTATATGTTTAATGTTTATTATATATTTTTGTGAATGAGCTTGAAATCCTACCAAAGATTGTGTTGCTTTCTCCACTCTTGCATAAGAAAATTCTAAGAATAGATATTTTAAATTTGTTTAGTGACCCTAAACAATGTTTTGTTTCACTTTTTCTGACCTATAAATTATATTTTGGATCTAGACTAACCAGATAATCACACCCAAACTATACTTTTATTTTTTTATTTCAAAAAGTTTGATTTCTAAATTATGCAATGTGAAAATCAAGTTCAGAAAGTTGACTGTAGTGGATATAATTAACTGGTTTGAGTACAGATGGGGTACTTGGTTAATAAAATATAAAAATACTCAAGCAGTAAACCTACCCTGACGTTTTTAATTTTGAATGTAAGATCAGATATATGACATTGAATTGGGGTTTTGTTCAGTTATGTGTAGTTTTGTAATACTTGATTTACTGACTTAGATATCAGGTTACTCATACCTGCAATGTTGTTTTGACATTTGAACATGCCAGAGAAGAATAAGGCTTTTACTTAAACAGTCCCTGTAAGCATAACGCTTGAGCACAAGAGTCAGCTGTTCATTAGTATTTGTTTTGAAAAATTTTGGAAAATAATTGCAAGGATTAAAAACAATCTAAATAGTAGTTGCCCCTGTCTCTGCTGCTTATAAAACTAAATCAAATAAACATCAAGTCAGCTTTTCCATCAGAAAATAACATAGTGTCCAATTTGAAAATAGAGATGGGAAGCTTCAAAAGTCTTGAAAAGACAGGCAGAGAGGCCAAGTTGAATCTCTTACCAACATGATCTATACCCTTGGAATAATATCAGTTTATTTAGTGTGGCCTCCCTTACCCTGTTTTTTGGTCTTTGATGGCTGTAACTAACATGTGTCAAGTCTTTGTAAGTAATTTCTGAAGCTTTGGGTTTCTAGATAGCCTCCTCCTCAGTTTTCATTTCCCTTCCCTCCCCAAGACTCAAGATGTCCAGGAGCAAATTCTCTATGGTGTTTCTATAGAACTTTTTTTTACTGGGTTAGTCTTCTTTTGTTTGTTTCCATAACTATGTTGTACTTAGTGCTGTTTTTATAATCTTATGTATATTTTTGTGTATGTGTGTCCTTTTTGGCCTTCAGAGGAACAAGCTACTGAATCAGCATCCCTTTATTACTATGGTATCAAAGATTTGGCTACAGTTTTCTTCTACATGCTAGTGGCGATAATTATTCATGCCATAATTCAAGAATATGTATTGGATGTAAGTATGCAATCTTAGAAATCTATATTTTGTAAAGCACTAGCTCTCTATACTATGATAGTCATATATTAAGTATATTTTATAATTTATTCTTAATTACTAATAGCTGTTTTTATTTTTTTAGAAAATTAATAGACGAATGCACTTCTCCAAAACGAAACATAGCAAGTTTAACGAATCTGGTCAGCTTAGTGCGTTCTACCTTTTTGCTTGTGTTTGGGGTACATTCATTCTAATCTCTGTAAGTATGTCACTCTTAGTATTGTTGTTCTTTCTCATCTAAGGTTAGGAACTCTTTGCTAAAGACCAGTATAAATTAAAAAATGAGTTTTAGTCATAAATCTCTGCTAGTTTTTATACAGAAAAAAATTCTAAGCTGTTCACTGTTTCAGAAAGCCTGTACATTTTTAGTCACTGGATGTTATTTTTCTATCTAGTGGTCATTTACAGACAACTCTGTAATAAGAAAAAGCATAAGATGTTAGTGACGATCTTACTAGGTTACATAAGCTGTAATGTTTCCAGTCATTTCCTCCTCTAAAAAGAGTCCAGTTGTTTTCCCAACAAGTTATAACGTATAACTTTTCAGGTCAGACAATCAGAGCATTTAATCCTATCACTAACTAATGAGCGAGAAGGCAGTAACAACTAAAGCAAGAACAATCCCTTAAATTTATATGGTATTCCATGGTTGATATACTTTCGATTTTGTTGGACACATAATTTTTTTTTAAATCACCATGTTGAAGATGAATAATAGGCAAAGTGAATTTTCTGTGATAGAACATTTAATACCATAGTTAGATTAAAACCCAACATTTCAATCCCTTTTACTCTGCTGTTTTAATAATACTTTTAGAAACGTAAATTTCAGTTTAAAGTCTATTATATAATTTTTTAAAAAACAAGAGTTGCACTTCTGTGGGAAAATATTCTTTTTAATTATAAATCACTTTAGTTTTGGGGGAGTTTGTTTTGTTTTTTTTACCTATGTATTGATTCTTACTGGATGTATCTAGTTATCTAAGAAAGAAGACTAGGGTAGTATTTATGGACTTAGTCTCATAAAACTTGGCAGCATTGTGGTCTTCTAACTCCTCTGCAAGGTGCTACATATTTTCCCAAAAACCATTCTCTTATTAATTAAGACAAAATTCATCTCGCTCATAGGTTGTTGTTCCTGTGTTACATATGATTACTGTTTATTGCTTATATTGTTTGTATACTTGTACTTTTTACTCTACTGGATTGAAAGATATTTGAAAATCAGGAATTATGTTTTATTTGATTTCATGTTTCTAACATTGATTTTCACTTGCTAAAGTAAGCAATTCAAATTATATTGAAAATAAAAAGCTTGATTTTAGTGTGATGTTTGAGATGTAATATGGGCAATTTTGAATGTTTGCATGATACTCACAGGTTAATTTTCATGTCTTCTTTTTTAGGAAAACTACATCTCAGATCCAACTATCTTATGGAGGGCTTATCCCCATAACCTGATGACGTAAGTCATTTTTAACAGGCCTTTCTGAAATAAAAACTATGGTCACATCACAAGTAAGCAGAATTAAAATTCATTCTTGTTAGTTTTTTGATTTTTTTGTTTGTTTGTTTGTTTTTGGCACATTCATAAAATAGGTGAGACTATGTCTTGGCAGTCCCATTGCCATAAGAAGAAGGTTCTATGTACTTTTTTACATGTATATCTTTTCAACATCTTTATTGGTTTTGGATTTTAACAATAATCTTAATTTAGTACTCTCTTCCCTTTTTTCTCCCTCATCCTTTCACCTCTTCATAACTCCATCTTCTCCATATTTTTGATCCTCCCCCACCACATCCCAACTCTACCCTCCATCTCTTTTTGTTTCTTCCTTTTTTATCCTCTTCTTGGATAAGCTTCTTGAAGTTAGGGATTATTTCTTTTTTATATTTCTAACCTCCACGGTTTCTATGTAGTGCTTCCAGGAGCACTGTCTTCCAGGTTATGAAGATACGTATCTAAATTGCTCACTCTTCAAGCCTAACCCATCTAGTACTGCTGCTCCATATTAATTTTCCTTGCTACTTTGCCTGTATTGGTCTTAGATCCTTTACTTTGTCAGGTAGATTGTAGGTGCTTGTCACCTAGACAGTACTCACTAAATACATTGTTTGATGTGAGAAATGGAGAAAAGACATGAAGGAAAGAAGGGAATAACATGACTATGCATATCTTTAAATCCAGCAGTAACACCAACTCTATTGAGTCATTCTCTGACTTTAAAAAGCTACATTAATTCAATAAACTTTTAGAAAATGGGATTATAGCATTATATGACTGCATTTCTCTCCCAAAATGACTTCATTTGATTGGCTTTGTATTTTAACTTAGTTTTCTGGAGAAGGGAGAATAAAGAGGAATCAGAAGGGTGAAAGGTTATAATATAAAAGAAACTATTGATTCTAGATTGATTAAAACAGTATCTCCTGGGAAACCCTCCTATGTCTTATTCCTGTCTTTAATTCTGTTTCTGCCTTCATTTTTTTGAGTATCTCTATGTTTCAACCAGGTAGAATTACAATATTTCCCTAAGGAAAAAAAATGATGATATTTGACATTGGGATTATCCCACATTCTAAGAATTGATAATGTATATACCTTTACTTTTGTGTCTGTCCCTTTTCTTGAGTATACATTCATTGTACAAAATAATGGGTTTCTTTGTTACATTGTGTCAGTCTTTTTGCCCTTCTTGTTTCTCCTTTGATGAAACCCTACAGATCTGAAGGTTGGTCACAGTCCTTGTGTTTTCAGTAGCTAGCATAACCTATTAATCAGTATTAATTAAGTAATAGACAAGGAGCCTGGCTCCTTCCAGCCAGCTTGTGTGTTAACAGCCTTCTGCATATGATGTTTCATCCAGGAAAAATGCTTGATTGGTGAGACTATCCCAAGGAAACAGTGGAGAGTGGCTGCTATAGAGTTGTTAAAGATATGTAGAGGATGCTGCTAGTACATCTTCAATTCCAGTAGTTATTTACTATGTTCTCTTAAAATACTCTGCTTTAAAAGATATTTTTGCTTTTTTGTATTGTGCAGATTTCAAATGAAGTTTTTCTACATATCACAGTTGGCTTACTGGTTTCATGCTTTCCCTGAACTCTACTTCCAGAAAACCAAAAAAGTAAGGTGGTATTTTTGTACTTTTAAATATTGTCTTGTCACTTTTTTCTCTCTTTAAGGTTTTTCTACAATTAAATATTTTCTTACCTCTTTGCCCTCCCTCAATTCTTCTTTCATCCCCTTAACTCCCCTCTTTCTGCAAAGCCTGAAATCCTTAAATATTTCTTGAAAAAACTTTTGTCTTTATTTTAACTTAGAGGGGGATCTTCTATATTTGACATGATAATTGCTCATTTTTAACTTTTATTAGTGGCAATTTAAACTAAATTAAAATTTAAGCAAAAATTTCAAATATATTATGAGTTTCATCTTACTGATATTCTTAACAGTTTATTTCATAAGTAAGACAAAAGGATTAGTCAAGATTACAACTAACTTCTTTAAGGCCCCAAGAAAAATTCAGTGTTGACAACAGAAAGTAAACTGTGGTTCAGTATTCACCAGGGAAGCCTTTCCTGAAATGGGTGGGGCATTCCCTTTTTAGCATGTGGGAAAGATGTTTGTTTGAACAAATAAATATACTACTGGAGCACTGCAGTATCCTTTCCAGTTTTATCTTCAGTATTTTTTAATTCAAGCTTCCATGGTATCACAATAGTCAACTATACTTCCTTTACTTAACTTTTTCCTCTGAAACCTTCAATAACTTCTTATTGCTTTAAACTAAAAGCCGCTTACCTGTGCTCTAAAGGTCTCCCATCTGTATTTATTCCGTGGTCTCTCATCCTTCTGCTCTGTAATTACTCTTCATTCACACTGATATTCTCTAATGTTATAATCCCAGCACATCAGTTCTTTTCCTACAGTACCTTTTCCCTCTAATAAAGTAATCAGCCACCTGTATTCCTGTTGGGTACAAGGGTAGAATTTAAGAAAATCTCCATATATTGTATGCTCTGTGTGATTTACTTCAAAAATAATATCAGGTAAAGATAAATGGGTAGGGCTACAGATGAAAGTCTGGTTATTTGTTAATAACTTCTGAGGCTGGGTTACAGAAATAAAGGTTTTCATTTTATTCTCCATCATTTGTATATATGTACATTTTTTCACATTTAAAGTTTTTTTCTTTAATCCCCTTACTTTCAGAAGTCTTCCTAAGTAGAAGTATGACAGCCTGTTTAGTGACCAGTTTACCTCTGTCCCTCCCAAAAACCACAGGCATTTTTTTATATGAGCTAAATAGTTAATTCATGGTATAGGTCCTTGATTTGTCTATATTTTATGTATTCTGTGTGCCTTTTTCATTGATAATGGCTGCTAATACTAGAAAACAACACCAAATTAGAGGCCATATACTATCTTTAGCTATTGATTTCTTTTATAAAATGGAATGGTTTTCCAGTTAAGTAATTGTAAGGATTAGAATGAAGATCTTTATTTATGTTAAATGTTTGACTTCAAACTATCTTAGAATAAAATTATTAGACCCATAGGTTAGACCCATAGTTTCCAGTAACCCTTCTATATTTAGTGAGCATCTCCTGTGACTCATAGGAGTCCTAGACCTGTGCTGTCCAAAATGGTACCACTAGCCACATCTAAATTAATTAAAATTAAATAAAAACACAAACAATTCACTTTCTTGGCCATGCTGGTTATTTCCAGTGCCCATTAGCCATGTATGGCTAAATGTCTACCATTTTGGACAGAAGTGTTTTATTTGTTTGATGTTGGACTTTGGTTTTGGGGTGTTTTTTTGACAAGCTTGGTAGTAGCTCTGTCTGACCTGGAACTTGCTATGTAGCTGAGGCTAACCTCAAACTCATGATTCTCCTGCCTCAGCCTCCCAAGTGTTGGGATTACAGGTCTATGCCACCAAACAAAGCCTGGACAGATTTGTGGAACATTTCTGTAGTTACAGAAGGTTCTGTTGGACAATGCTACTGAGCGTATCATAGTTTCTTGATGTCTTTGTACCATGGCTCAGATATTTAAGTTTTCTTTAGTTATTTGTATACCCATAGATATAATACTTCTGGTTTTCACTATTAATCCTTATCTGTATCTTTCTCATTGACCCTAGTAAGTAAAAAGGAACATATCAAAGTAATTGTTCATTTTAGTTCCTGAAGCTTTTTTCTTATCAGTTCCTGCCAGATGGCATTTCTCCAGAAATGCAATCTAATTTTTATGGAATAATTTGCATAACTTAGAACTTAAACTATTTTTAACACCTACATGTGACAGTTGAAAGTAACTGTTTCAAGTAATTAACATAATTTCAAAGTAACAGCTGCATATGTGTTAAACAGTTTCTTAAAATTTACTCTATGAAAATTATTTTTGGAAGAACTCTTTACTGGAAAAAACTTGAATAGTGATTTGACTAGTGATTGTTTTGAACCAGTCCTACACAAAAATGAAGAAAGAAAGGAACAGTGTTATGAGCAGTTCAAGAGATGTGTTAGTCACAAATAATGTAGTTTCTTCAAAAGAGAAAATTTAAATCACATATATTATATACACTTCAGTATAAATAGTTCTCCATTTTGTCCATGAAAATATTCAAAATATCATTACTTAGCCAAGTGCCATGGTATGTGCTACAGTCCTAGTTACTTGGAAAGCTGAGGCAGGAGGATTGCTTGAGCCCAGGAATTTGACACCAGTTTAGGCAACATAGCAAGAGACCCTGTCTCAAAAAAATAATAATTTCTTAGCCAACTTTTAGGAAAACCATAAAATAGCCAAGTATATGTTTTTATTTCTAATATTCAAATTTGCTTTAATTATATATGATTGTGTATCATATTAAGTATTAAGTTAGAAGTAACTTCTTCCACTCCTACTTCATGAAAGTTATACTCACATTTTTTATATGGAACTTTAGTGTTAATCTCTGTCATTCATTCCTGTAGAGCCACCTTTTGAATCCTCTAACAAAGCTTGTCCAGAGTTCATCATTTTTGTATTTCTTACTGATTCTTCATTGGTCCTGGATAAGCATTATAAAATGGCATTAATGGAAGCTTTCCAGGCTTATGTGTCTTACTCAAATGTTTGTTTATAGCTCAAAACAATCAATATAATCTCTGTATGATA